AAGTATAAGTATAAAATAACTTTACTTTTAATTCAGAAATAATATATTTTGTTAAAAAAAAATTAGTGAGAAAAAGTTGATATTTAATAATTTATTCCAGCCATAAAACCTGATAGAGTTTTAAGAATTGCAAGACACTGGTATGAACATAGAACAACCAGACCTGAAAATAGAGGAGACAGGAAGAAAGTAACTTTTTCTGAAAAGAAAGAAGCTATTAAAAACCATATTCAGTCTTTTACTTGCAGAGTAAGTCATTATGAAAAAAAAGATGCTCCTGGACGTAAATATTTGCCCTCTGATTTAAATGTAAAGCGGATGTACGAACTTTTTTTGGATTAAAACAATACTTATACTGTAGGCTACCATTATTATTATGGGGTATTTATGAACCATTTCAATTTAGCTTTTGGATACCCAGCAACAAATACATGCTCTACATGTCAAACATATAAGTTGACTATGAAAAACCAAAATATTACTAATGACCAAAAAAAATTAAAAACTTTTCATTCTTCATTGAAGGAAAGCCATAAAATTTTATAGTCTTCTCAATGATATTCATTCCAATAAGATCACTATCTGTTTTGACATGATGGAGAACCTTGTACTACCAAAATTATCAATTGGAGAAGCCTACTATTCTAGGCAGCTTTATTTTTATGTCCTTGGTGTTGTTATTCATAAAGGTGATAAGTCTCAGTCTTTTAACAATATATATTTTTTTACTTGGATGGAGTGTGAGAATAGGAAAGATTAAAATCTGTTCTGTTCAGCTATAGAACATCTACTTAAAAATGCTTTAAAAGATAAATGTTTCAACGCCTCATCACTTCGGTTGTTTTCTGATGCATGCTATGGCCAGAACAAAAACATAAATATGACATGTATGCTTCTTGCTCTAAGAAAACAGTATTTTAATAAACTGCAGATTACACTACTTTTCCAGAACGAGGTCACTCATATCTGCCAGCTGATCGTGTGTTCGGTTGAGTTCAGCTAGATATTAGTAGTTGCATTTACTTACCATTCTGAGCCAAAATTATACAGTATCTTTAAAAAAGGGAAGAAAATGGAAACATTTAGACCACAACATTTGGAATTAAATAACTGTATTAAATGTTTTTCGTCTTTTTAGTCTTGTAGGAGTAGAAGGCAGAATACTTACTATGTATAACACATTACTATGTAATTCCACTGAAGATGATACTTACCTTAGTGAACAAGATAGTTCATAATTTGATTTAAATATTTTTTAGCTGTGAGTTTAGTAAACATGTTTTTGTTAAGATACAAATATTTTAGAAAATCTCCAGCATAACATGATATATTTTGTTGTTTTTTTAATTTATGTTATTGAATACAAGAATATAATAGTCATTAACACCTTATATATTTTTATAGTTGCACTTGTGAATTGTTTAAAAAAAGTTGCTGATTTATATCAAAGGAGAACAAGATTTTAATGTAGATCTTTAGCATGCATAACAAAATAATATGTTTCATTAATAAATATATTTTATTAATGAAATGGATATAAAACGTTTTGTTAATAAATAATACTTGGATATACAGCGTTTTGAAACAAAACAAAAATAACTACTGAAAATATACATCGATTTCATAAAATTTGATTTCAGCATATATTGTAGTCTTATTAATAAAGTACATGTTTAACTAAGTCAATAATAAGTTATTCCAAAATACTTAATTTCTTTATGCAGCAGAAAAGTTCGATTTACTCAAAACCCAAAAAATGGATTTACAGCGTTTTGAAAATGAGCTCTTCATATATATATATATATATATATATATAATATATATATATATATATATATATATATATATATATATATATATATATATATATATATATATATATATATATATATATATATATATATATATATATATATATATATATATATATATATATATATATATATATATATATATATATATATATATATATATATATATATATATATATATATATATATATATATATATATATATATATGAATATATGGGCAATTCCATTTTTAACTTATGTTACATATGTATCACCTTTATAAAATATTTATTTAAACTGTGAGTTAAACTTTTAGCTATTTTGTATGAAAGCTGTTAGTCTAAAGAATAAAATAAACTAAAAAGTTTTAAGTCTGGCTTAAAGAGGGCGAACTTACTACTGCAAATGCCACTTAACTTACATAACACGGAAAACAAGGTAAAAAAATTGTTTTAATTTTTAGGTCAGATTTCTTCGAATCAGTAAAGCAGTTTGTATTAGAAACTTTCACAAGATATTAAGAATTCTATACTAATTTAAAAAATATATAAAAGTTTTTCAGTGGTGACCGTCTAAGAAAAATAAACTTGTTTTTTTGATACTATGTATTTAACTTACATTACATCACTTACGTTACCAAGCAATTTTTATCATGGATTTTTATATCTATAATTAAGAGTTCAAATTACGTAGCAAAAGAATTGCAAAAGTATTGAACTCATTTATTAACAATAGTTAGAATAGATGCAAGACAAAGAGCAACTTAAAAAAATTATTTTAGTGTTACAACTTTATTAATACTTATTTGTGTCATACAAATAAGAAAATCTTTGGTTTGTCGAAGTTTTTATTTTCACTTCTTATGTTTATGCGCATTGCTTTATTTTAATTAGATTGAATTTTTAAAACGCTGCAAAGTATTTACATTTAAACCATTTTAAAAATTTTAGACGCAAAAATTGCTACCACAGTTAAAAGGGAGAAAGGGTTCAGGTATATTTGATTGTTGAGGGAAGGGGTTAAGAATTTACAAATATAGGGTGTTGTGCTTTATGGATGACCACTCTTAATTGCTTTTACAAACGACTTGTTTCACTGAAACAAAAAAAAAAATAAAACGCTAAATTAATTCCAATTGTGCAAATAAATTCATGGTTAAAATAACATTTTGCAATACTTTTTTTTATCAAGCGTTAATGAGAAAAACCATAAAATTCGGAAGCATAAAAATGACGTTAAGCTGCCAGCAATTTACATATGCGTTAAGCAATTTAATGCGTGTCTAGAGCAATTTCCATTAAGTGACTTTTTATCATTTTTTAACTTTTAAATTATTCTATAAGCAATATGATAAAAAAATTATTAATTTTATATAAAACCACATTAACTTTTGAATGACGATTATGTTTAAAGTTTTTTACAAAAGTTAGAATGACAATTATAGATATAAACAGATATATATAGACAGATATAAACGCTTTTTACTAATGAAAAAAATTCAAATAAAATTAAAGGTTTTAAAAACCTAATCTCTAATGTGCTAATTATTTTATAGAAATATTTATTAACAGAAAGCAAAATTTTTTTTGTATACAAAGCCTTAAAAAAAGCCATAAAAGAAATAAAATAAAAACTTTCATTTATCATCACGCAAGCACAAAAATATTTATACAACTTTTGATTGCAATTTTAAAAAATTTACTAAAATTTCTATTTAATGATAAAAAATAAAATTAATAATTAAAATGAAGTTTAATTTTATTATATCTTTATTATATAAACGCATTGTAAACATAGTTGGACCTGCTCTTGCAGCCAACCTTCAACCTCTGTCACATTGTCGTAATGTTGCTTCTCTTTCTCTTTTCTACAAATACTATAATGGGCACTGCTCTAAAGAGCTAGCGTCTCTTGTGCCATCTACTAAAATTCATTCTCGTGTTACTCGTCATTCAATTAAGTCTCATCCTTTTTCTGTTACTGTTCTTAAGTGCTCCTAAAACTCTTATTCGTCTAGTTTTTTTTCCTCAAACATCAGTTCTTTGGAATTCGCTTCCTTCATCTTGCTTTCCTGATTCATATAATTTGCAATCTTTTAAGTCATCTGTCAATTATCTTGCGAAGATGTTGAAAAAAAAAAAATTTATATATATTTTGATATTTTATTTTTAATTTTTTTTTTTTTTCTAATTGTAATTATTGATTTTTTAACTTGTAAAACGCTGATACTTTTTCCTGAAAGGCAATAGTACAAGTGAAACAATAATAAATATGTTAACCAATCAAAAGTATATGAAAATGAGCAACCTGCACAACCCAAAATCATTACAGTAATTAATTAATCTATAATTATATAATTTAGTTTTGGTAAAAAATATATGATTTAATTAAAAACTAATTTAATAAAAATATATAATTTTATTCTGAAAATATATTATTTAAATTTGATTTTAAAAATATATAATTTAATTTTGATTAAAAATTAAATTATATATTTTTTTAATTATATTATAAAATTTGATTTAAATTTTCAATATTTAAATTTTATTTATTCTCAAAGAAATTAGCTTATTTTTATCGCAATTTTTTTTTCTATTTTCCTTCTTCCTTTTTTTTACTCAAATTGAATTTTAAATAAACGTGCTTCGAGGCTGCATCAAAAATATGCACACAAATATTTTTTTAATAAATGATATATACAGCAGTATAGTTTTAATAAATGGTGTTTGGAAAAATAATTTTTGCTTTCACAACAAAATTGCTTATAAAGTAATAAACTTTTAATAAATAAAGTAAATAAATTAAGTTAATTTTTTTATTTGTTACTCTCTAATTTTTTTAAATAAAAAATTATTTTTAGTTTCAAAGTTACAATTAGAAATTTAGAATTAACTTTATTAAATAATTGAAAACAAATTTAACATTTTAATTCGTTTATAAAAATGTTGAGAAAATAAAGAAATTTTTTTATATCAAACATCTTTAAAAATGTAATATTAAATTTAATTATTTAATATAAATAAAAAATTGAAAGAAATTAAACATTCGCTAATAGTAATAATAGTAATATATATATATATATATATATATATATATATATATATATATATATATATATATATATATATATATATATATATATATATATATGTATATATATATATATATATATGTTATAAAATCTTATAAGTAGTTATGTTGTTTTAAGAAAATACTTTGCTGGTGTTGAATTACGCTCTGTTGACTCCTCTTACCGGAAGAATTCTGGTGAATATAGGTATGACAATATTTCAGAATTTATTTTTTTCAAATATACTTTTGTATAACGTTATCATTTTGAATGTGTTTGTAGTAATACAAAACTTTTATTAGTTATTATTTTAAAATTCTTCAGTATTTAAATATTTTAAAACAAGCTCTTTAGTATTTAAATGAGTTTTAAAAAATGACAGAAAAAATAATAATAATAATTTATCTTTATTTATTTTTTATTTAACTAAAGTTTTAAAAGTTTTTTTAAGTTTACTAATATCTAACAATAATCTTTTTTGTGTTTTTCTCATTTTTTTGTGTGTATGTCTCTTTTCTTTTGGTTGTATGTCTTTTTTTTTGTGTGTATGTCTTTTTTGCATAATACAAAATTGTACTAGTTACTATTGTAATCAAATCAGTTTGAAACCCAACCAGAAAAAAAAGGTGTTAAGGAGAAAATAGCTGGGTGATGTTAAAGTGTCCAGTTCAAAAAGGTATTGAAATGCATCAAAAATCAGAATGTTTAGCAATGGAAAACAATATAACCATATAATAATTCAATATTTAAAGCACCAGTTAAGATTTTAAAAAGACAATTAATAAAAAGATATCTTGAAAAATATACTTTGCGATGTTTGAACCTTCTAAAGATTCTCTATAGATACTCAATGCTTCATCTAATTGTACTAAACATGTTATTATAAAGTGCAAAAAGAAAAAAAACTTTTTTAACAAAAACTGAAACACTACACAAGTAATAATGTTAAGATAAAATACACTCAAGTGTATATATAACATGATGTACAAGTATCGGGTCGACATGGAAAAATCCATTCAACTTTAAATTGAGATTTCTCTAAAACCATAAGTGCTTTTTATTTCAATTTTTTTTATTATCAAATGTGTTTACATCAATTAGAGTTTTAACTTAATTTCAAGTAGCTTGATAGGCTGTTTGGCAAGAGATCAAATTTTATGCCATCATTTTGATGCCATCATTTTGCAGATTTTTTCTTTTTTCACCTTATCGGTGGCATTAACTTTTTTTGAAGTCCTTTTTATTTTTTTTACTCCACCTGTCTTACGAAGCACTCCTTTAACTATTGCCAAAAAATCTTCAATTTTGCGCTCTTCAGGGCGATTTGGAGGATTCACATCTTTAGAAACTTTCACATTATTATCTTTGCACCACTGTAGAACTTTTTTAGAAGTGAGAAGCAGCAAGATCTGGCTAAAAAAGATATCAGGATTAGTTTTTTTTCATAAATGGCAAAAGTCTTTTTTAAAAGCATTCTTTGATGTAGAGGTTGGCAGTGAAGGTCTTTTAGTAACAAAACAAAAGGACTGCATACCACAGCTACAAATTGCTTGCCACAAAAGTAACTTGGATGCAAATTTTTCTCGTCGAATATATTTAAATTGATTATCGACAGGTTTATCTTTGTTCTCATAGTAAAATTGATGACCAGGAAATTGTGAAAAATCCAACTTGCAATATGTTTTGTCGACTTCAATTATATGGATACTTTTATCCGCCATTATTTTAACCAACTTCTTTGCGCGTCAAATTCCTTTAATTTCACAGTTGAAGCTTCTCTTAGGTGTATTTTTCTTATAAAATGCATTTTTAAGTACTTTTTTGATGTAATATATATTATTAAAAGTATATATATTACTTCTACATATAATATATATGTACAAGTAATATATATGTATATATACATAGCAATGTATATAAATATATATATATATATATATATATATATATATATATATATATATATATATATATATATAAAATATATATATATATATATATATATATATATATATATATGTATATATATATATATATATATATATATATATATTAATATATATATATATATTAATATATATATATATATATATATATATATATATATATATATATATATAAATATATATATATATATATATATATATATATATATATATATATATATATATATATATATATATATATATATATATATATATATATATATATATATATATATATATATAAATTGAAAGTAAGAAAGGTCTTTATTAGAACGTTTGTTTAGAATTTGCAATGAATGATTCAATCTTTACAACTGACTTGGCAAAGTTTCCACATGTATATCAAAAAATTGATAAACATGAAGCATCAAATACTCACATTATGGCAGTATTTACACTTTTTAAAGCATGTGGTTCAAATGATATTGAGTCGTTAATAAAAGAGAATATAATTGTTAACCAAAAACAACAAGTATTGAACAATATTAAAATTCTGAAACAAATAATTGCTGTTATAAAATTTTTGGGAAATTAAACTTTGCTATACAGAGGACATTAGAATAAATCAGGTTTAAGTTTAGAAAACACTTTCTTGAAACTATATTATTACTGTCTCAGTTTGATGAATCTTTGACTGTGCATATAGAAAAATTTTAAAGGCATATAAAGAAAGACAAAACTTTTTGAAGCAAAAGAAAAGTGAAAAATCTAAAGGACATTTTCTGATGGTCACCTTGAAACACATTTAAAATTTTTCCCTATAAATTTTAAAGACCCATTCTGCCACCGTATATATAGAACCTTCTAGTATTAATATCTATTAAATAAAGGTTCAAGCCATGTAAAGTATATTATATATATATATATATATATATATATATATATATATATATATATATATATATATATATATATATATATATATATATATATATATATATATATATATATATATATATATATATATATATATATATATATATATATATATATATATATATATATATATATATATATATATACTACATGGATTGATAAGTTCCTGGAATGGGATGTATGAATCATCGCTATAAAGATAAAATTTATATGAACGGAAAGTTCAGACCTGTATCGATTACTACATAAATTTTAAGTCAGTTTATTATCTAGTTTTGTGTTTATAGCAAGTAAAGTAAAATAATCTCAATTTTTTTGCTGATATGGAAAAAACTGAAATTCGGGCAGTGATAAAATATCAATATTTGAAAGGCTTAAAACCTCAATAAATAATAAATGACTTCAATAAAACTTTGGGTTCCTCTGCTCCATCGAAAACAACTGTTTACGATTGGTATAATGAATTCAAATGTGGTTGTTCAAGCACAAGTGATGTTCAGAAAGGCCAAAAGAGGTCACAACTGAAGAAATGATTGAAAAAATTCATGATATTGCGGTAAAAAATCGTAAAATCAAAGTTTTTGAAATTGCTAACCTTGTAAACATTTCTTATGAACGTGTTTTTAATGTTTTACACAAATATTTGAAAATGAAAAAGCTTGCTGCCAGACGCGTGCCACCCGTGATGACTGTTGACCAAAAACGCAACCAAGTGACGACTTCTCAACAGTGTTTGGACATGTTTAATAGCAATCCATCGGAATTTTTGCGTTGTTTTATTACGATGGATGAAACGTGGATCCATTACTACACACCCAAGTCGAGGCAACAATCAGCACAGTGGTTAAAACCTGGGGAAAGTCAACCAAAGCAACCGAAAACGCAGCAATTGGCTGGAAAGGTTATGGCAAGTGTCTTTTGGGACCACGTAGCATAATATTTATTGATTTCTTAGAAAAAGGAAAGACAATCACTGGAGAGTATTATTACACCTTATTAAATCGTATATGGGATGAGATTCAGAAAAGCCGACCACATTTGCGGAAGAAAAAAATTTCGTACCATCATGACAATGCGCCATCTCACACGTCATTAAAAGCAATGGCAAAACTTGATGAGTTAGGATGGGAAATACTTCCCCAGCCAGCTTATTCGCCAGATTTAGCACCCATTGACTACTTTTTATTTCCTAATTTGAAAAGATGGCCCCAGGGAAAGAGGTTTGCAACAAATGAAGAAGTTCGAAAAGAAACAAATGGATATTTTGAGGGACTTGAAAAAAATCATTTTAAGAAGGGAATTGAAATGTTGAAAAATCGATGGAATAAATGTATTGTTCTAAAAGGTGATTATGTAGAAAAAAAAAAATTCCCAATATTTTATTGTTTTTTTCCTTGGAATTTCGGAAACTTATCAATCCATGTAGTATATATATATATATATATATATATATATATATATATATATATATATATATATATATATATATACATATATATATATATATATATATATATATATATATATATATCGTTGTTGATAGTGCAAATCTGCCAATCTACTACAAGTAGGGGGCATGTATCTGCATTAGAGATTGCGGTTTGATCGCTCTAAAATTATTATCTCATTCGGGTAGGTCATTTATCTTTCATCATATCTTTCATCTTCTTGTTTACAAATGTGCTTCTTATGTATTTTCTTTGATCCAGAGTGATATGTAATCTTTTATTTCCTCTCGACAATTCCAAATCAAATCACACTCTTCTTCATGGTTTTTCCCTCATTGTGCTACTGCAACTTCAAATTGTAACCATTACTTCCATATTTATCACCAAAACAATTAACCAGAAAACGAATGTCTGTTTACTATAGCTAGAATGCATTGTAAAAAGGTTTTGTCTAACACTAAAGCCCACTATTCTATTATTCATATCACTTCAGCTTTTGTATCTAAAGTGATTTCCTGCTTAGACTCTTCTACAGGTTGTGGTCTGGTCAAAATACCTGTTATAGTCTTTCAGAAGTGTTCTCTGGAGTTGTTATTTATACTTTTAAAACTATTTCACAAGTACTTATTAGAGTCTTGTTTTCAAGCCTTTCAGTTTTGCTCATCAAATATATTTTATATAAATAATATAATAAATTGGTTTTTATATTTTACGCCTCATAATGTCTTCTTTTTTAAACAGTTTGTTTTATGTAACTTTTCAACTGTTTTTTCATTACCTAATGATCCTGACACAATAGATTTCTTTACTTTTAATGATTTTTTGTTTAAAATATATTTGATGAACAAGTATAGTGTTTTTAATTAAGTAACTGATTATGGTAAGATCTGGTTGTAATTGCGATCTTAACTGGTGCTTAAATGGTTGGATTATTAAATGGCTATATATTAACAGATGATTGAGTAGAGAAATGATTGGGTATAGAAATTTAAGAGAAAAAGGTAAGTATTTTGAAAATCGTAAAGTATAATTTAATTTTTTTGATTTTTTAGATTTGAAAATCGTAAAGTATAATTTAATTTTTATTTTCATTCAGTTATATCTAACTAAATCATTTATTAAATAATAAGTTCAGGTAATTTTTTACTCAAGTTTAATTTTAATAAACATTTTACTGGGCTATCTTAAATTTTAATCAACATTTTATTGGACTGTCTTAAATCAAGATTTAACTAATTGTAAGCTCTTATAAGTTTACGTTATATGTAAATCATTCCAACGTGCAAATATTAATTTAAAACCTATGAATATCCTATTGTCATTTATTTTATATTGGATCCAATACTAATATTATGCTAATTTTATTTTAGATGTGGCTTTGTAGCATTTACAATAGAAAATGTGCCACCTGGTAATTATCTCATAATTCCATCTACATTTATTCAAGGGCAAGAAGGTCCTTTTTTTCTAGAAGTTCAAGCTTCGTGTGCAATGAAATTGAATACAAGATAATTATAAAAAGTGAAAATTGTAAATTGTTCAAATAAATCTGAATAAGTTGATAAACAAACATGAGTTTTACAATGCTGTTTTTTTTTATTTATAAAATTTATATTTTCAAAAAGTATATTTTAGTGTTAATACATTCTTTTTAAATAGATCTTTGGTAAGATTTAAGTGTTTATATTTGGTAAGAAGTATTAAGTCAATAGAACCTTTTATACAAGTGTTTATCTGAAAAATATTATTTTACTAGCATTTGATTATGTTTTATTATTTTTTAAACAGAATCTTTTTTTTTAATACATACATACATACATACATATATAATTATATATATTTATAATATATTGTTATATATTTATAAAATATAATTATACATGTTTATTTATAATTATATCAAAATTATAATTATACTTAATTATATATATTTAAATTTACTTTTCAAGTATTTGTTACTTTTAATTGTTGTTTGTTCTTCTTGTATATAAATATGCAATTTATTCAGCTTAAAAATTAATACTATGCATGTTTTTTTTCTTCTACAGTATTTTTTAAATGTAGTTTGTTCTTGTATATAAAAAATCCAATTTTTCAGCTGAAAAATTAATACTACACATAATGGTTGCCTTTCAAATGGAAATTGAAGGAAATATCCAGAAAGAAAACAATTTTGCTGACATACAGCCTATAAATAGAGGACCTGATTATTCTGCTAATATCTCTAATAACCAAAACGAACAAGTTGATAAAAAACCTAAATCTGGGTTTGTTATTGACAACCAATTAAAGGATTTATTACTTCTGCAGCTTGACCTGATTGAACACCAGCAATCAAAGATAACTCAAAAAGACAAACAAATTATTGCTCTTCAAGGAGAAAAAGATCAAGTATTTTTTTGTTTATTTATCTCATAAAAGTTGCAAACAAACAAACAAATCATATTCAGGTATATGATATTATGATGAATATTACTGTAAAACTATAGTTTTTGGTATTATGGAATATGGTTGCTGTTTTTTTTTTCAAGTTGTAAATTTTTTCAGCAAAATTTTTTTTAATTTGGTTTGTTAATTTGATTTATTAAAATATTTTTCATGAGCTCAAATTTAAATAAAATTAAAATGCTTGAAGATAGTAACTTTGTTAAAATTAAAATGCTTGAAGATAGTAACTTTGTTAAAATTAAAATGCTTAAAGAAACTTTGTTCACATTAGTGATTATTATTATTATTATTGTTATTACATTAGTATTTTTTTTTTTTTTTTTATCTCAATGTACTAAATTGTAAAAAAAATTATGTCAGTAATAATATAGAAAATTGATATTTAATATTACTGTCATGATATCAAGTTAAACTTTATAACTAAGAAAATAAATTTTGTAATTACTTTGTTTATGTATTTCTTTTATTTCCATTTCAATAATTTTGAATATAAAATTTAGCTTGAAGCCCGTCTTAGAAGAATGGAGAGGCGTCTTGCCATACAAAAAAGACACACAATTGAAAGTGAAGGTACTTCAGTATCAAAAAAGTAAATTTTCATTTTTTAATTTTTTCAGTAAAAACTCTCACTATCCTAAAACTTGTCAACTGAAGTTAGAAATAGTCAATTTTTCTTACTAAATATAGAAATATTTGTGATATGTGGTGTGTTTTTATATGATGTTCATCTTTAATTGTATGATTGAATTTTAAAAAATAAAAATTTTAATATAGATCAAAAATTTAAGATTAAAATAAGATCTGTTTCTGTATTAATCTTTCAAGTAAGATAGACGTATTTTTTAAATAGGGTAGTAAAATATTTTGAAATATTTAAAATATTTTTATTAGTAAAAAGAAAAAAAAAAAAGTTTATTTGCAAAACCCTATGTTTTTAATTAATCGAATTTAACAATTTACAAAGCTCCCATTTTTTCAGTCAATCAGAAAATTCTATTTATCAGAGATACTATAACAACAAACCTTTTTTTTGTTGATACAAATTAATTAACAAGTGTGTTCATACAAGGGTTGTTTGCCAAAATACAAGTCTTGCAAATATTTTGCAGCTTTCTTTACCATATTTCATACTGCTATTACAGAATTTGCATATGAGAAACTCCTCCTTCCCTAAAGTGTTACATGAAAAATTAAATTTCATAATAACGACTTGCAAAAAGAAAATTGCTAAACGATTCATTTCAAAAGAAAACGATTCATTTCAAAATGTATGTACGTATGTATGTATGTATGTATGTATGTATGTATGTATGTATGTATGTATGTATGTATATATATATATATATATATATATATAAACATCTTTACTTCCAACAGGACTGCAAGCAACCACTTTTAGAGCTGAAAGTTACTGGAAAAGAAAGGATGAAGTTTATAAAGCAAGATAACAATTAATAAACAACTTAAAAGATTGTAAGTTATATGAATCGGGTAAAAAGCGAACTCCAAAGAAATAATAGGAAAAAACTAGACAAAAAAAATATTTTAAAACACTTAGGAACAGTCAGAGTAAAAGGATAGACTTAATTAAATGACAAGTAACACAAGAACAAAGTTTAGTAGATGGTGCATGAGATGCTGGCTCTTTAGAGCAGTGCCCATTATAGTATTTATAGAAAAGAGAAAGAAAAGCAACATTATGAGGATGTGAAGATGGTTGAAGGTTGGCTGCAAGAGCAGGTCCAACTATGTTTATGATGCTTTTTTGTCTAAAAGAAAAAGAACATTATTTAAAGATCGCCTCTTGATATGGCAACAGTATTCCATACAAGGACAGATTTGAGATTCATAAAGATAAAGAACAGATGTCTAAGTAAGAAAGTGGTAAGCATGATAAAAAGATGCAACCTTAGCAGATGCTAGTTTTGCAATTGATTTGATATATGGTTACCAATAAAGATCAGAGTTAAGAGTTAACCCTAGAAGATGAAGGGTAGATGACTATTACAATTCACAAATATAGATCTAGATTGCTGCAATAACAATTAGCTGAAAAAAGTTGAGTTTTATCTGAGTTAAAGTTCATCAGCCACTGAGAGCCTCATGCTGTAGCAGAAGTAAGATCCTTTTTAAGATCAAATGCCCCCTCCAAGCAATAAGAGAGTGTTGGTTTCTTATCAAGATAAGAATAAATAGTAGAATTGTTAGCAAACACCTGATGTGAGAATTTCAGGGAGATCAATCATGTTAGTTAGAAAAAGTACAGGGTCAAGGATCGAACCTTGAGGAACCTCTGAAGTTACAGGAAATAAAGAATAGGGCTATCTATTCAGGACAACTTTTATGCTATGATTGAGTAAGAAAGGATTCAATAATCTTAAAGATGTTAACTAACAAGTAAGAAGAGAGCTTATGGAGAAGATCAGCATGCTGAACTTTATCAAAGGCTTTAGAAATGTCAAGAAGGATAGCCTCAACCTCTCCACACCTACCTAATGCATGATTTTCCGCAGGCTGGATAACAAGTTTCTGATAAGCACTTGTTAAATAGTTTTAAAAGTATAGACAACAACTTTGGGGAACATTTCTGCAAGGCTATGACAGGTGTGTTGTCCGAATCAGAAGCTCTAGAAGAGTCTAAGCAGGAAACCATTTTAGATACAGAAGTTGGAGAAATGTCAAGCAATTGATCAACCTGTTTGTTGGCTATATCATATAGGATGCAATTTGTCATATTGAGAGATAAGATTGATGAAAAAACTCTTAGCAAACAATTCAGCTTTGTCTTTTGGTGAGGTTTGAACCATGCAAGAAAAGAGGAATAGCAGATTTGCCTATATTAAAGACTGTTAATAGTTCTCCAGAAGTCTTGGGAGCCTAATTTTTGAGATGAAATATGAGATGTCATGACCTAAGGCTTTGGCGTTAAACAGAGCCTTTTTACAATGGTCTCTAGCAATATTAAACAGACTTGTGTTTTCTGGAGAATTGTAAACAGACTTTTGTTTTCTGGAGAATTGTTTTGGCAATAGGTATGGTAATAGTTACATTATAAATTGCACCAGCAAATTGAAAGGAAAATCATGGAGAAGAGTGAGCCTTGACTTGAATTCTGAAATTTTATTTGGTTAATTTTAATTGTTATAATAAATTTTTTTTAGCGATAAAAAGAAAGATAACTTGCACAAAAAAAAAAGCCCAAGGATTTTTTTAAATAATTTTTTTTATTTATCTTTTATTTAATAAGTTATTAATTAATTTAACAATAAATAAAAAACAATTTAATTCTTAAAATATAATCTATCAATCTAATAAAACAGCAATATATAAAAAACTGTTATACATCATATAAGTGTTTTATAAAAACGAATGATCTTAGTTATACCATTATAAATGTTCAATGATTTTTTCTTTGTGAATGAAAATGTCATTGTATACAAAAATTTCTACAACCGCTTTATTAACAAGGAGGAAAATGACAAATCAGACTTTGGTAATTAAACTTCGAATAATTGGATACTTGTAAAGCAAGGCCGATGACACCGGAAGGAGAGGGATAGGGGGGACAGGAAGGCACTTTCCCCTCCACTTTTTTTCTAAAGGACTTTTTTTTTTTAGAAAATTATAGATATAGAAAACTTTTTTTAGAAATTAACGATTGTGCCCCCCACTTTGAAACTTGTGTTTCGGCCCTGTAAAGTTAAGATAACAAGTTTTTCAAAGTTAAGTTGCAGTTTTTATCTTTCGCTCATAACATAATGAGTTTTTGTTATTATGTTTTTGTTGTGGTTTGGTTTCTCAATTTTTGTTCAGACTTTATTCTTTTTTTCTCCAGTTTTATAAGTTATATAATCAGATTTTTGTTGAGTTTATTCCAGATATAGTCAAGCCAAAAGTTTGTGAGCTACAAAAAAAATGGCAGAAATACAACCTTCGCAATATAGTATTATTTTTATCATACAAAAGGAATCAGGGCCTACAATACAGGTTTCTAAGTGGAGGCCGGCACATTCATAAATTTTTTTAAAAAGTCTTGTATATCAAAAATTTTCTTGAAAAAAAAAAAAAAAATGCTAAACTCCATTATTCTCAGTTCACTAAATCTCGCATCTTATCGCAGAAGTTAGGCTCTAAAGACTTTTGGAAAATCTTCAACAACATTGTTAACAAGGGTAGATCTAACATTCCATCTCTCATTCATGGGACTGATCTTGTTACCTCTCCCAGGGATAAGGCAGAACTGTTTGCAAAGAACTTTTCTTTTAATTCCACTCTTGAATCTTATGGACATTCTCTTCCTTCCATTCCAGTCAAACAGGTTGACCCATTGTTAGACATTCAAATCACTCCGACTTCTGTTGCTAAAGTCATATCTCAATTAAACTCGTCTACAGCTTGTGGTCCAGACAATATTCCTGTCACAGTCTTGCAGAATTGTTCTCCAGAACTTTCTTCAATTCTCTCTAAACTATTTAACAAGTGTTTGACTGAGTCTTGTTTTCCTGCTTGTTGGAAAATGGCATCTGTGGTTCCAATATTCAAAAACTCTGGAGAAAATTCTGACCCCTCCAATTATCGTCCGATCAGTCTTCTTTCTGTTATTAGCAAGGTCTTTGAGTCTTTGATCAACAAATTCCTCACATCTCATCTTGAGTCAAATAAACTACTGTCAGACAATCAATACGGTTTTCGATCCTCTCGCTCTACGGCCGACTTGCTAACTGCTGTAACTGAAAGATTTTATCGTGCATTAGATGGAGGCAGTGAGGCTAGGGCTATTGCTCTCGACATATCTAAAGCTTTCGACAAAGTTTGGCATGCTGGTCTTCTCCATAAGCTTGCTTCATATGGTGTTTCTGGGAAAGTTTTTGAGATTATCAAATCATTTCTTTCTAACCGGTTTATTAAAGTCATCCTTGAAGGCCAACACTCTTCTTTATTTCCAGTAACTTCTGGGGTTCCCCAAGGTTCCATCCTGGGCCCTGTTTTGTTTCTTATCTACATAAACGATCTTCCTGACAACCTTTCATCTAAAGTAGCTCTTTTTGCTGATGACTCAACTTTATACTTGTGTCTTGACAAAAAGTCTTCTCTTTTCGATCGCCTAGAACAAGCAGCTGATCTTGAATCTGATCTCACTTCAGTAATAGATTGGGGTTCACAGTGGCTTGTGAATTTCAACTCTAAAAATACCCAATTGCTTACTGCAAACAACTACCGTAATATGATCAACATTAATATCTATATTATATTAATGTTGATCATATTAATGATATTAATGATAATGTTGATCATATTAATGATATTAATCTATATTAATGAATGGCAATCCTCTTACTGAGTCGTTCTCTTTACGTCTTCTTGGATTATCGCTTACTACTGACCTTTCATGGAAAGCATATATACAATCGATTGCTAAATTAGCTTCTGCTAAGGTTGCTTCTCTTTATCGTGCTCGCCATTTCCTTACTTCTGGTTCCATTCTCTACCTCTACAAATCTCTTATTCGTCCCTGTATGGAATACTGTTGTCATATATGGGCTAGTTCTTCTAACGATTCACTTTCTCTTCTTGACAAGGTCCAAAAACGCATTGTAAATGTTGTTGGACCTGGCCTGCTAAGCTTGAACCTCTTTCCCATCGTCGTAAAGTTGCATCTCTTTCTCTTTTCTACAGATACTATCATGGTCACTGCTCAAAGGAGTTATCATCTCTAGTTCCATCAACTAAAATTCATTCTCGTTTTACTCGTCATTCAGCTAAGTCTCATTCGTTTACTGTATCTGTCCCTGCATGCTCTAAAAACTTTTATTCATCTAGTTTTTTTCCCCGCACTTCAATCCTTTGGAACTCTCTCCCATCTTCATGTTTTCCTGACTTATACAACCTTCAACTTTTCAAGTCTTCTGTCAACCGTTTCCTTGCTCTATAACTCTGTTCTTTTTTTTCCTAGTAACTCCCAACTTAATAGTGGTTGCTTGCAGCCTTGTTGGGAGTGAATGCAAATTAAAAAAAAATATATATATAATCTTTAAAAATCATTTCTTGTTTACGATATGTTTATAAATATATAAATTGATTTCAATAAAAAAAGGCAGCGCATAACTATTTTTTAAATATGATTTTATATAATAATATATTAACATAACTCAATATAATGTTAAGTAAAGTTATTGATTACGACCCAACAACCACATTCACTACTAAATTTTAAAAACTGTTATGGAACATCAGAGTATTTGGTTAAAGTTATTCAACCAACATTAAATAAAAATACAGCTTGACTAATTAATTCAAGTAATTTTGTCAACGATGCTAAAGAATGGAATATAGGCCCTAATGGAGTTCAAGTTTCATTTGATGTAGTTAATTTATATCCATCTGTACCAATCAATGAAGCAATACTGGTTATTGTTAACATATTGAACAATGATTTGGAGGATTTAAAAACTAGAACTAAATTAACTGTTTTAGATATACACCAATTAATTGAACTTACATTAAGTAAGTGTTATTTTTTATACGAAGACAAAATCTGAAATTTACTTTAATTCAGGTCCAATTGGTTTATCGTAGATGATAGTCATAGCTGAATAATTTTTGCAAAATATAGTAAAAAGAGCCCTTAATTTGTTAATTTTTTAGAACGAGCCTTTGTTAATTCATTCAAACCATTAACTTACAAAAGATATGCAGGCGATACCCATGCTTGCTTCGATTTGAAAGAAAAACAAGAACTGTTTCTTAAAACTTTAAGTTTTAAGAAACAGTTCTTGTTAACCCCTCCATAAAATATACTGTTGAACTTGAAAACGAAAGAAAACAACTAAACTTTTTAGATATTTCTATTACAAATACAGTGAATGGGTTTTATAATTTGGCATTCATTCCAGAATACAGGATAAGAAAAGTTAGAGAATTTCTGGAGATAAATAAAGCAAGAGTTTGACACGAGATAGGTATTGGCCAAACTGTTCTAAATAGAGATAATGTTCTAAATAGGGATAATGTGAAAACAAAAACATGGGGACCAGTTTTGACAAAAATTTAACTGAGGTCACTATTATATTATTTGATTGGTTTTTATATTTTATGCTTTTTAATTAATTACATTTTTGTATTTTCATTACCTGATCACGCTGACCACAATAGGTCAGCAAAATATCATTAATATATTATTATATTTATGCATTTTGTTCTTAGAAATAAAATTGTAGTAATGGTGGGTTTTTTTTTAGAAATAATATTGCAGTAGTAGTGATTTTTGTTTTTTTGTACTTTTTTTTACAAATTTTATTGCAAAACAACTTTATTTAGACCATTATTCACTGGCCAAAAAGATCTCAATAGAATTGGTTCAAAAGATTTCAATAGAAGTAGTTCAAAATGTATTTCAAATGCTGTTGTTACTGTGACATCTAGGAATAGTAAAAATTTTAAGTTTCGTTCATACATGAATACTAATAGAGCATACCTAGATTATCCTTTAAATAAACTGATAACATCTAACAATACAATCAACACAAAAGCAGAAGAAATCGACAAAAAAATTTCAGGTATCAATTTTTAGTACTACAACAACAAAAATTTTATGGTTTTGTACAATTTTAATTTTAATTAAATTTGAAAATAACATTTTATTCATCATGTCTAGTTTTCTTTCTACACTTATCCTACTTTGGTATAGATATTCCAAATGACAACAAAATGAAAAGTGCAGTTTTATCCAAATGTATTCTATAATTGTAACACTGTAATTCTACAGAGCAGACTGTACTGTGCAGACTGTACAATAAACAGTGCAAAATTTACTGCAATGTTCTGGCACCTTGCTGACTATACTGCTTCTTGCTAGCATTGCAGTACAGTCTGCAAGGCTTGTCTACAATCTAAATTGGGATATGCTAACACTTTCTTTTTTTGATGGAACACAACACCATAAGTTCACTTGTTGAGCAAAATTGATAATTTTTGTTTTTCTAGTTATATAAAATGTAGTCATTTTGGATCTGTTTGTAAAAAAAAGTTTTCTGTTGCATGGTGTGATTTGTAAAAGGACCCAAAAGAGAGCCCATAAAGTAATTTTTTTCTAGAAAAAAAAGCTCATTAAAATTTAAATTTTTGTTTATTTTATTTTTGTTCTATGGGAATTGTGTTCCAAACTTTTTTTCATGCATTTATTGAAAAAAAATACTGAAATATAATTTTTGAACAGCAGTTCACCTCATGTCTATCAGGGATTGCTATAAATTTAAAAAAATTTCAAGTTAGGCCTAAAATGTTGGCAGTGGTGCCAGCAAAAAAGTTGCAAAGATTTTATATAAAAAATTTTAAATTTTGTTTTATGGCAAAAAAAAAACTGTGAAGAAAACTGTGAATTAATATAAAATATAGAATAAAAGTATTGCAAACCAGACACTCTTCACAAAAAACTAAATAATTTTTTTAATATTGAGAATTTGTAGATTTTTTTTTCTGGAATATATTTGTTTATTTTAGCAGTTCCGCAGTTTAAAAAACAAAAAAATTTAATTTCATGTTTTTATGAAAAATAAGCTTTTATTTTTTAAAAAGTGTCCACTTTTTGGAAAATTGTCCCTAAAAGCTGACAGTTCCAAATTAACTAACTCTTAACTGGTTTAACCATTCTGTAAAAGAATTTTTACAGAATGGTTAAACCAATTATTAAACCAGAATTTTTACAGAATGGTTAAACCAGCTTCTTCTGTAAAAGTTTGACCAGCCACTGTTATGACATTTCTGGCTTTTTTTGCAGGATGCTAAAAAGCATTTTGAAATTAAAATTACTTCAAGAGAGTTCTTTCAAAACTGATTTTTAAACAAGTCACTAATTCTTCTTGAGAAGCTAAATTTAAGTTTGGAATTGAAATTAGAGTTGCAGGCGGAATAAAGGTTTGTGTTTGTCAAGTAGTTTGAGTCAAAGAACTTGGGCTGCATAGTGTAACTGATGATGATGTTTTCAAAGCATTATTAAAAGTTTGAAAGTTTTAATTTTAATTTCAATGTTGAGTTTAATAGAAAGAGCCTAGTGTTTTTGAAACCAGCAATAATTTGAGTACATGTGTAGGCTTCGTTCTTCTATACTTGCTAAGAGACTTAAGGAAATTTTCTTGGACAAATTGCTAAAACCACTTCAGCATAAAATTTTTGTAAAATATCACGTCAAACATCTTTGACATTGTAAAATACACCAACATCAAGAGGCTTGCAAAATGTGAGATGAATGGGTGGGAATAAATCTCATCAGTATAAGGCTTCTCATTTGTTTTATTTTTTGCCATTTTAACTTTAGTAAATTCAATTCAGTTACAGATTTATAGAGATTTTTGCAAATGAAGAAATGATGCACTTTAGTGGTTACTTTGTGTACTTTTACACTTTAACTTTATCATTGCAAAAATACAAAATCAACATCAAAGTGTGAAACCTTCAAAAACCCTGATGAAAAAAATTTGGATTTGTTGTGTCCGGTTTAAGGTGAAAACTAAAGAAAACCTTGTTTCTGCCATAATTTTATAATTTTGCGCACACTAAAAATTAAAATCTTTTTTAAAATTTGCAAATATCTTTATTTTTAGTGAAGATGTTTTCCTGATAAGTGTCTTTTGCATCAGTGACTTTTCTTTTTAATAAAATATTATAGTTTTTATTATTACTGAAAATATGTAAAACTTGATTTTATTTTTAAAATTAGCTTATAATTTAAAAATTAATTAGAACATTTGTTAAGTATTTTATGACATAAAACATGGAATTTTTATAAAGCAGAGATGAGTTATGAACATGTAATAAAAAAATATTTTGAATATGGAGATCACATAGAAAAAGTACTTTAGATTTAAAAGTAATCTAATTAATTTGAATTGAAGCTAATGCTGAATTTTATTAGATTTACAGTTTAGATTTATAAAGATTTACATTTTTTTTGGCCTTAAGATAAAAGCTATACTATTTTATTAAAAAAGTGCTTTAACCTATTTAGCTGGCACCTTTTTCCTCATTTAAATTTGAGTTTTGAATTTTTATTTTAAGTTTTTTTGAAATTTCTAGCAGTCACCTATAGCCACAAAGCAAACCATATCCAAAAATTACTTTTCCTGTGTATTTCTTCCAAAAATGTATTAAAATTAAAAAAAATTTTTTTTTGGTAAAGCAATTCTCATAGAACTAAAACAAAAAAAACAGTAAGTTTAATTTTACAGTGTTTTGGCTATAAAATAAAAACTAAATTTTTTTGTGTAAAAACTACATCGTAACTTTTTCCTGGCACCATTGCCAGCAATTTTGGAATTTTTCTTAAATTTCTAGCGACCCTTGATAGCAGCTGCCCAAAAATTACTTTTTCTTGTATTTTTTCATATATTCACGAAAATTAAAAAAAAAAAGTTCTGTAACACAATTCCCAAAAGACAAAAAGAAAACACACAAAAAATTTTTATTTAAATTCTCTTTTTTTCTGGGAAAAATTTTTTAAAGGGTCTTTTTTGGGTCCTTTATAAATCAAACCACGCGTTAAAACGATAACAATTTAATTAACGAGAAAAACAAAATATTATCAATTTTGCATGTGAACTTATGATGTTGTGCACTCTAACTTATAATTTAAAAAATAAAATAAAATACAAGTTTATCTTTATACAACCTTTTTAGCTCTGCTTACTTTAAGTAATACCTTAGCTTTTTAGATTTAGGCTATAAATATTTTAGAGCATGAAGGAACAGATACAGTAAAAGGATGTTTTTAGAGCATCAAGGGATAGATGTAGTAAAAGAATGCGATTTTGCTGAATGACAAGCTAGAATGAGTTTTAGTTTATGGAACTAGAGATAATAGATCATTTGAGCAGCGACCATGATAATATTTGTAGAAAAGAGATGCAACCTTACAGCGATGGGAAAGTGGCTTAAGCTTGGCAGATAGAGCAGGTTCAACTACATTTACAATATGTTTTTGAACCTCATCTAGAAGAAAAAGAACATCATGATAACAGTATACATGGATGAATTTTTATAGATGTAAATATTTATAGATGGTAGAGAATGGAATCAGGAGTAGGAAAATTAGATGTTAACTTTGCAATGGATTGCATATATGGTTTCTATGAGAGATCAGTAATGTATGATAATCCAAGAAGGGTCAAAGTGTTCTTTAGATTTTTTAAACATTGGAACTACAGATATTACATTTCAGCAGGCAGGAAAACAAAATTCAGTCAAGTACTTATTGAATAGTTTAGAGAGGATTGATGAGAGTTCTGGAAAACACTATTGTATGGCTATGATAGGATTCATAGATGTGAAACACAAGCCGTAATAGAGTTTAATTGAGAAATGACTTTAGCAAAGAAGCCAAAGTAATTTGAATGTCTCACAATGGTTTGACCTGTTTAACTAGAATGGTAGGAAAAGTTTTTTGCAAAGAGTATGACCATTAAATTCAAGAGTCAAAATTGAGGAAAAGTTCTTTGCAAATATTTTGCCTTATCTTAAAGAGAGGCAATAAGATATGAATTAAAGATTCAAGTGTATGATCTTATTACCTCTGGAATATTTGACTTTTTTGATTTTCCAAAGTCTCTATAGTTTAACTTCTAAGATAAGATATGAGATTCAATAAACTGAGAATAATGGAGCTTAGCATCAGACAGCACCTTTTTACAGATTTCTTGCAATAATAAAAAGGTATTTGTTTTCAAAAGAGTTGTTCTTGTAGATATAGATTAGATATAGCAGTTGTACAAGTAGATGAAAGTCATGAAGTAGAATGAGTCTTGACTTATAACCAACAAGAAGGAATAAAAGCTTCCAAATCTTCCTGGATCCAGGAGATTACCTAGGAGGTGCACTTATCAGCATAGAGACAAAAGATCATCAGCCCAAGGACCTACATAGTGTAGGTAGCACTAGATTACATGTAACCAATAGCATGGTGATTGTAATGATCCTAAACCTGACCTGAACTGTTCTAGAAACTACCTATAAATCATTTTTAATGATTTCAGAACAGGAAAATAAAACTGTCTATCAATAGTAAACATCACAATTGCAACAATAGCACATTTACTGCATAAAAACACACAATACATTATGCTTAATATTAACAGAAATCATTATGTGTTTCCAAAATAATTAAAAAAGATGAGACAACAAATTCAAACTCTAAATTAGAAACACTGCTTCGCACTAAACACTGCCAAGTGACACCACAACTTATTTAATTAGTAAAATTTATCCAATAAGTTATTTGTTCTCTAAGGATTTTATTTATTAAAATGCCACAAAATACAGCTAACACAGAAACTTTGAACACATCTGACATCCAAAATAATTAAAAAAGATAAGACAACAAATTCAAACTCTACATCAGAAACACTGCTTCGCACTAAACACTGCCAAGTGACACCACAACTTATTTAATTAGTAAAATGTATCCAATAAGTTATTTGTTCTCAAAAGATTTTATTTATTAAAATGCCACAAAATACAGCTAACACAGAAATTTTGAACACATCTGACTTTTTGTTTTGTTTTTTTAATTCAAGATTTAAGAGGTAACAAAGCAACAGATGTTAATTTTTAAAATTTATATAATATTTAGTTATCTGCCCTTTGTTTTTAAGTACCATTTCAATATGTTTTGGCATCAATAAGCGTGGTTTTTGAGAAGAGGAATTGTGTTAAAGTGGCCCTGCATTGAAAAACATTTGGAAACAAATGAAATTAACAACTCGTGGAGCATGATTCACTTTGATTCCAGAACTAATGACAAAAAGAGTTTGGATTCAGGACATTTTATTCACAATAACAAAATAAAAAACTGAAAAAAATTTGTATATAGTTTATATAAATATTTCTTTCCTTCTTTTTTTGTTTTATATAATACACACATACCTTTACAAAGAAGCATTCAAACATAGAATCATGGACAAGCATAATTATTATTTCTTTTTTTTTTCCTAAGAGAAAATGCATTTTATTTACTGAAATACACACACACTTCCACACACACGAGTGCTCATGCATTATTGCAAAATAGTAAAATAAAAATGATATTTTAACTTTTTACTTTCTTATCTGAAGAGTATTAAAAACTTTTTTACAATTTTTATTTATTATGTTTTTATTATGTATTTATAACTGCAGTATTAATATTAGTTTTAGAGTGATTTTTAAAACTAATATTTCAGTTAAGGTTATATACAACAACAACCTTGAATAATGCAATATTATTATTAGATCAGCATAGGGTTAGAGTGACTATAAAAACTAATCTAATTTAGTAGATATTTTGTCTTTTAAAGAAATTTCTCAAAAATTACTTTGAATGCAAACAGTACAAAGTTACAAAGTAAATATCAAAAACTAATTTTGAAAAGTGTTAATCTTCAGCAACAGCAACGCAAATAATTACAATTTTTTGGGACCATGGAAAAATATTTATTAAAAATGGAAATGTTTGAAAGTATGCAATATGTGAATGTGAAAGAATGCAATATGTGCTAAAGACCTGTGAACTTAAATTGAATAAATGGTTACATTCATACTTTTATTTTATACACTTTTAACTAAAATTTATCTCATTTTTAATGGTATTTATTTGCGTTATAATGTACATAGTACATACTATGTATAATGTACTACATACATTATACATAGATTTAGTTTATATGCATGACATAACATAAATTTAGTTTATATGCATGACATAACATAAATTTAGTTTATATGCATGTTTACTTTAGTACCTCCTTGGCATGTTATAGAAAAAAAAACTTTGTTTTTCAATAATCTTGATGAGGTATAAAACTTATTTTTCTAAAAAGTTGAAAAATTAAAATAATAATTGAATAACACTTTTTTTTTTATGTTTGACTTAGGATATTAGTGATGATGCATTCACAAAACGACACGCAAAACCAGAAACTGACGAAATCAAAAGAAAAAGGTAAATAAGTAGTTGTATTTTCTAACTTTAATTAAATATTTCTTTTAACTATTGATATCATATTTGATCAGTTTTTATGGTTTTTTTTTTGCGGAATAAATAAAATCATATTTGTATAACGGGTTCTATTCCACGCCAAGTGGTCCGGAGGTCCCTGCTCTACAATCCTATTTTTGTCAGTATGTTGTTAAACATGTTTCGTGAACATTGCCAAATTTTTAGATGAAAATGTTTATTATTTTGGGATTTGTGCAACTTTTTGTAAGGCTTACCCAATCTTCAATATCAGTCTGTAGCTAAAAACTGCATATTTTGGGGTCTTATATTGTCGTAATGAACGGGTAAAATATCTTAAAAACGTGGTTTCTTAGTAAACCGAAGGTGGAGATTACAAACAAATTAATACAAGTTTTATATTATGCCTACATTTTATTCTACGGTTCACCAAATACCGTCACAAATTCGAAATCATACATTTTTTCTGTTTTTTGTAAGGTCATATCTCCAGAACAAAAGGTTTTTAAGTATTGTTATTTTGTCTAAAGGTTATACGTACTATCATATTGATATGTATAAAAAATCAGCTTTTTTATAAATATCTCTTCTGAGTTATTTTTAAAGAAATATAGCGAAAAAAAGTAAATACCCTAAAATAACGTGTGTTTGAACCCTTAAAAGTCAATGCGGGCAAAAAAATTTTGGTTTTTTAGTTGCATTGTTGAAAAGATCTTATTCCACACTTCTAGAAACATTAAAAATTATTTTGGAGAGATCTTTCTTATGAACGAAAAAAAAAATACATTTTTTGAATTTTACGATTTTGTCCTAAACATAAAGATTTTTCATACTGCATCAAAATCAAAGCTTGTTGCATCAAAAGCATCAAAATCAAAAGCTTGTTGTACCAAGAATCAAAATCAAAGCTTGATGTACCAAGAATCAAAATCAAAACTTGTTGTACCAAAAGCATCAAAATATTTTGATGTTCTAAGAATTTTTTTTTAACATTTGCTTGAGTAATTTTAAAAAAGTAAACAAATCAGCAAAATGTAAGTCACAATATTTAAAGTAAAAAAAACTGCAAATAAGTGTTGTTGTTTTTTTTGACAAATTCATTTTTGTGTATTTTGATATCATTATTTTATTTTAATACCAATGCATTTTAAAAAAAGTTAATTTAAAAAATGATAAAAAAGTTGATCTTCATTTTTGTAGATGGTATCAAAAAAGTTTATCCCTAATGACACCTTGACAACCATTAAACATTTGATTTTTTACAATATGTATGTCTTAAAAAGGATTTCAATAATTTAACAGTTATAAAAATACTGCGGATAAATGCATGTTATTCGCAATTTAAAATCCTGAGACAACTGCCAACTAGGCAACTGACTATGGGCGCCAACCAATAAGGGGCACTTGTTTTTTTTTATTTTCATTCAAAAGTTATTTTTAGAATAGATATTTTTTTAAATTTGATTACAAAATTTTAGATGACAATTATTTAGATGCCTAAAAGTGCCATAAATCCAACAACTTCACAAATACGGCCCTGGTAATAGAAGCATAATCTAGTTAACTAGGTAACTTGATTATGCTATGTAGTTTTGGAAACACTACATATTTTACAACACGTTTTCTGCAACAAAAAAACAAATAAGAAAAAAATATATTTTTGCAGTTTTTTATTTAATGTTAATACATTGTTTCTTTTCCGCACAAAAAATTGGTCATAGAAAATATTCAGTTGTGCGAAACCATAAACAACTTGATTATAAATAAACCATAAACAACTTGAATATAAATAAACCATAAACAACTTGATTGACATATTTAAAATAGCTTCAAATTTGGAATTAATGTCTGAAACAACAATTGACGGTAAATTGGATAAACTGATTGGATTTGGAATGACTGCAAAAACATACTGCTCAGGTACCCAACAAGTGTCTTTGGTGCTAGGCCAGTAAAACGACTGAGCATGGTATGCCATGAGGATGCATAAAATCAATGAAAACATCTTCCTGTTTTTCTGAAAATTCACAAATAATTCCAATCCACCATTGTGCATCGTAAATACATGCAACAAAATTTCCAGGATTTAGATCACACAGTGAAACTAATTTGGTTAAGTTGTTGTAGTAACTTTCATTAACATTTGCAATAAAAGATGTTTTGTCATTTGAAATACGACTGATGCAAACCTGATTTTCATTTACAGGTACAAATTTGTGATTATCGCAAGTACTAGCAACTGTGTTTCAAGTGCTAAATTGTTTCTCTTGATTGTCTTTTACTACCTCATCACTGTCAAATTTTCCAATACAACAAGTACTTAAGTTTTGTTCAACAGACATTTCAGAATAAATTTAAAATAACTCTTATTCTAACTTTGGTTCTAATTTTTGTCTTCTAATATTAGATATTTGTGATAAACTTAAATATTTGAAATTAATTTAGAGAGATTTGTCCGTAGAATAAAAATATACTTACATATTAAAATTAGCTCTACACGGATATAGTTAATTTACAGACCTTAATATTGTTTTTAAAATATCAAAGACTTTGCAGACCTAAGCTCATAAAAACTAGACTTTTTTAGTTTATAGGAAAAATCTTTCCAAAATGGTTTTTATTGTATCTAGCATTGTGAAGTAAACTCTTTCCAAAAATTCAATTAAAGAAAAAAAAAAAATTTGCCCACATTAGGTTTTAGGGGTTCAAACACACCTTACTTTAGTGTATTTCCCTTTTGTTACTATATTGCTTTCAAAATAACTCAGAAAAGACATTTATAAAAACACTAATTTTTTAATCCATTATGATAGTATGTAGAACCTTTACACAAAATAACAATACTAAAAAATCTTTTGTTTTGGAGATATGACTCTACAAAAAACAGAAATAAATAATGGTGTTGAATTTGTGACAGTATTTAATGAACCATGGCTAAAATATAGGCATAATATGAAACTTGTATTAATTTTTTTGTAATCTCCACCTTCGGTTTACTAAGAAACCACTTTTTAAAGATATTTTACCTGTTCATTACAAAAATATAAGACCCCAAAAATGCAGTTTTTAGCTACAGACAGATATTGTAGTTAGGGTAAGCCTTGCAAAAAGTACCACAAAACCCGAAATATTTTGATCTAAAAATTCAGCAATGTTCATGAAACATGTTTAACAACATACTGAAAAAAATTTTTTAAAAATCAGAGATGGTCGAGCGGGAAAGATTTCAGAAATTGGACCGTTTGGCATGAAATGACCCTAACACTCTTCAGTTACTATCAGCAAAATAATTTTCTTTTTTTTTTTATTTTATTAAATTTTTTTTTCTATTATTTTTCAAAAATTAAAAAACTAATTTTAGTTTTATTGAAAATAAACTTGTTTTTAACAAATATCAAGATAGTTTTTGAATTTTTATCAGTACAAAATATTTTTATCACTGATAAAAGAAAGGCTTAAGATCTTTTAAAAAAGAATTTAATAGTTTGGAAAAATAAGATAATAAAATATTAATTTGAAAGTACAGTGTTTGTCTCTTCCTGTTATATAAGTGTTAATTAACATAATTAAATTACTTAATTAATTTTCTTAAAAGCCAGGTTTTACAGAAACTAATTTCTTTTTAGTAACAATAAGTTAGATTGTTGATGATTCAAAAATCTTATCATAAGTACTTGTTCTCAAGAAGTTTCAAAGTAATCTTTTATACAAGTTCATTTTTAATGACAATAAAAGTAATTTTTTTTAAATGTAAAGACTTATTCAAGTTTATAATAGTTATTTTTAAATGTAAGAAGTTTTTCAAGTTTTTAATAGTTATTTTTTAATGTAATTATTCATTTTTAATCAAAAAAGTATTTATTTCTAAGGTGAGATTAATCTGTTTGTAGATAAGAACTAAGTATTTTAATTACCACCAAAAGGCTACCATCCAAAAACTACAAGCTTTTCCAACCCTACTCGCAATTTAATTAAGTATTTTATATTCAAGTTTTATTTTGCCTGATAAGTTGCCTTTACCATACCTATATCTAAAGGTTTAATGCAAGAATTATATGTAAATATACCACCACACCTTAATGCCAGGTTATTTGAGTTAATGTCATCTACCTAATACTACCACCCATCTCACCTTTAAAAGCTCTTCATTAATTTGACAACATTATATGTTGTAAACCATGTATAAATCCAACCACTAAGTATTTTTAAATAGTTTTATTTGTTTATAATTATGTAATTATGATAATTCATGTTCAATAGTTAAACAACTATTGAACATGAATTGTCATTCAATTCTTCCAGCAAATTTTTTTAGGAAATTTTTTCTTAAATTTAATTGACTTACATATTTCTTTGCATCACAATCTTTACAAAAACTTTTACAGAAATACAATTAAAAAAGATTACTGCTGTATGTCTATTTTAAAAATATAATTATCTCACACACAAAACAGATTTTGCACAGTAAAAATACTGCTAATTTTATAAATTGCTATTGTATTAAAACTGCATGTCCTTTAGGATGTCTA